TTCAGGTTTGGCTCTCTAGGGCAGGCAGGCAGGTAACAGGCTAAGCTCATCCAGAGCTTCAGACGAGAGACAGGTTTCCTATGAGCGAGAAGACAGAGACTGGTTAGAATAGGGTTTCTCCTTAGAGACAGAGATTCTAGTAGTTCAGAGGCTCAGATTCGCTAACCAAACTTGGTCAACACTGCGGCGTTGCTGAACGTCAGCTGTGCTGAGGGCTCCAGCCCAGGAGATCCACAGCGCACTCTGCTGGAGAAGGGTGGCGAATCTCCAGATCCCAACAATTATCTCCTTTTTATCTCCTCTTTCTTTAATCTTTTCTTCTTATTTGCTGTTTTTCCTTTCCTGTTATACGCATAATTCAAGTAGAATTATGCGTATTGCTCTACTTGGAAAGTAAAAGCTGTTGGGATCTTTTTGGCATCAAGACAATTATCCTTATTACCACATCGCCAGACAGGACATTAAAAAAAATAAATAAATAAATAAGCTGAATTAAAAGCTGAACTAAAGCTTCAGTTCTCAAATATAAAATCATAAAAGGAACGGTCGGGCTACAGCAGTAGATGGTTTGAACTCGGGCTTTAGAGTGATGATCACTGTTTGCTTTTGTCTAAACCTTCAGTGCATGAAGAGCTTTATAAGCAGCTCTGAATGCTCTCCTCTGCCGGTCGGCGGACGCCTCTAAAATTCAGTCGCTTCTTGGATAAAATGCTAATGAATCCTTGTAGAGAAAGGCTATAGGATAACTTTCTAAACTGTTTGAGTTGATCTTTGTCCCACTGCACTTTCCAGCTTCAGAGAAAAGAGTTGCTCTGGAGAAATGTTTGTTAAATCAAGCAACCATCACCTTCTTCTTATCCTCACCTTTAATTCACAATGATCCATTTCTCTGCACCATAACCAGTCAACTCTCTGGTTTCCTGTGGAGTAATTTGGCTTCTTAGGGAAAGAGACCTATTGTTGAAAACCAGCAGTCAAATGATTCGATGTGTTGAGAAGCTTGTTTGAATTGTTTGGATGACGTTAGAAAAAACAATTAATCTCCAAAGATGCAAATAATTGGAGGTAAAAATGTTTGCATGGCTGCAGTAAAAGTCACAACCTGGAGTCAGAGATCAGAGGAGAGCAGAAAAACCAGGATGGAGAAAATTCTTCTTTACATCACAGTTCCATCAGGTAACTTCTACCCAGTGAGGCGATATTAAGGTTAAACATGTGTTACTGTGAGATGTATGAGTTTTTAAATGTTTCTACATTTTGTCACATTGCAGTCAAAGATTTTATTGTTTAGTTAGAATTTTATCTGACAGACCGAAGCGACCTATGAATAAAAACACAGGAGTTTTCCAGTTACACCGATATTCAGCAGGAGATGCTGTGGATCTTTCTGGGTTTCTGTTTACCAGTTCTGTTCATCTCATTGTTTTTTAATTTATTGGTAAAACTGCTTGGATGCAGCCTAAAGCCTGTCTGAAGATTGTGACTTTGACTAGGCCATTCAGAACCATGATTCTGCTTCAAACCGTCTCAGGCTGGATAGTCCAGGTGTTCCTGCAGGTCTGCTGCACTCACTGACTAACTGGGATCCTTCCAGGTTCCAGGATCTGGCTCATAGTTGTTTTTACCCGTCTCCCGCCGTATCTCTGTATCTTCAGTCTCCTGTAAATCTCTTGTCATGTTTTATTACAAAATTATATAAAAACACAAATTGATTTTCCTCTTTAAACGTCGGAAGTCAAAATCTGATCACCATCTTGTAGCCCGTTGACAAGTGTTTAGTTTAGATTAATTGTGCATGCGTCTGAAAGCACAATGGGGACACAGGGGCGGATTTAGGAAATATGGGGCCCTAAGCAAAGACAG